TCTACAACTTTTGTTTGAAACTTTTTTCGATTAAATGCCTAGATTCTAAGATACGGCCATTTTTACCCTTTTTCTCGTTAAGGCCACATCGTATTGCAAAAAACATTAGCACCATTCGATTCAGCGACGTCGAATTACCTTTGTATCAAACTGTCGAGAACTTCTACCTGAAAGTTTTTCCTTCACCTCTTATTGACTGGGCTAATACGTACTATATAAAGAAATATTATACGAAAAGAATATAGCAGCGATAAAAATAAATGATCAAAGTGAAAACCTTTTAGAAGGTAAATGCAACAATCTTGTGTATATAAGTAAGAAAGGAATATTATATTATTTTACATATTATACAGACAACACAGACACACACATATATACAGAATTTAAAAATAAAATAAGTACAATTATAATCTTTTAAATATTACTATATTGAATATTACCGCTGTACAAATTAAAACTGATCATCTGTTAATTTTATAGGTTATATACAGTGTATTTTATCTAATATATATATATATATATCTTAAGTTGTACAGTACACAAGTGCCTAGGATTCTCTATTAGTCTTAATTCGTTTCTTTTTCTAATTATAGTTATTCGCAATTCAGGATGAAAATAATAAAATTAGTTTGTTTGCTATGCGACTCTTTTACATTCTAACTCTACGATGATAATTGTTTTATTTGTATCTGACAATACCGATGAATTTCAATCGTTCTCTTGACCTAGTTATTATACCAGACAATAGTGAAGAAAGTATCTAAATTCTGTTTCTTTAAATTCATTTAACTAGTGAAATATATATATATTATTTTGTTTTTTAATTTAAATCGTGATCCCCTTCTTCTCTTTTGAAATTTGTTACGTCTCATATATAGATTTTTTCTCTACATCATTTACTTAAGTACTCTGCTCTACAATCTCAATTACAATTGAATACCATTACTCAGCAAAGAAGAAAACTCTGTTACAGCATGGGTTCAAGCGATAGAACCCCATTTTCCTGGGGCTAACGATATGAAGATTTATTTCAACAATTTCCTCCTTCGAAGAGATTTATTGTGAAATATTACTTGAATCGAATGTGCAACTTCAATGACAAGATATAATTTGAGATGGAACCTGTTAGAAGATAATTTCAATAATCTAGCATAAGTGGAAAAGGAATATTATATTATTCTTAAGAAATATTTAGTCATAGCATTAATATACTTATTCTATTAGCAGAGATTTTAAATCATTTCCCAGGAAGAGAGAGCACATTATTTCTAACAACGATAAGAAGGATTAGAGAATACAATCATTATAAAAGGTTGACGGAGATTCTTTCCAACTTTAGTTACACTGCAAAGAAACCAGTCATATAAATATATCTCAAAAACAAAAATGAGTGCATCCTAATTACTGCAAAGTTGAATAACATAAGAGGGAAAAACATTTTAAATAAGCATTTCTTAACGTGTACAAAATGTATTGTATTGCCAAGCATTTCACTCGGTAATTGAAAACATTATTATGCATTGACTGACAATAAATAATGCAAAAAGTCTATTCTTTTTATGTAAAAAATTGTCGGAGCAACAATGTCCTTGATAAAAAAACATTGAAATAATGTCTTATTTGTGCGATAATAGAGAGTATGAGAATAAAATTAACAGACAATTATACTCAACTAGGCGTTAAAGTTTTCCATGTATTTTTTAAGATGTAACTCCAGTTTTGTCTTCATTTTTAATAAAGTTCATTTATTATATTGGAGCTACGTTTAATAGAAAAGAAATACTAAAACATCTGTAGTAACTTTTCGAAAATATACACTACAGAGAACACGCTGCAGGTTTTTAAACCTTACATAGAATAGCGGAACTAACTATTAAAAAATATCGATTTATTAAGAAATAAAATCATAAATATACATATCAATACACATTAATTATACCTATATAAACTATGAAAGGAATTTAAATGTCTCCCTCGAATCAAAGAGATTGATGGTTTTTTTTGAATTTTCAATGAAAGTTCAAATATTCTGGTGTTCGGATCGTTTTTTCGTGGTGCAACATGGAAAGATATTTCTATCTACTAAGGGTGCGTTCCACTAAGCGCTCACAACGATCAAAATGCTCCTTTAGTCGTTCCACATAACGACCGCGGTCGTTGTGGTCGCGGCGAAAACGTCACTCATGACGTCATTACTAACGCTCACGCG